CTTCTTAGAGGAAGGTAATCACTGGTACCAATTTCTTGTGGCATCTCTCCCTCTGTCTACACATGTGCGCGCACGCATGTGCACACACACACACACACACACACACACAGGAAATTATATATCCTTTTTCCCTGCACATGGTACTATATTATATCTTTGAGGACTTTCAATACCTGTTCATATAGAAGTGTCTTCTTATTAAAAAACTATTTTTAATGTTTATTTATTTTTGAGAGAGAGAGAGAGAGAGAGCATGAGCAGGGGAGAGGCAGAGACAGAGGGAGACACAGAATCTGAAGCAGGCTCCAGGCTCTGAACTGTCAGCACACAGCCTGATATGGGGCTCGAACACACGAGCAGCGAGATCATGACCTGAGCTGAAGTTGGGCGCTTAACTGACTGAGCCACCCAGGTGCCCCTCTTTGGGCTTCTTTTTTACAGCATCTGGCAGAGAACTTTGTATACAGTACTTATTTATTGAATTGGATGTAGACATTACTTGCTTGTTATGTATATATTCAATTTCATTTCATTTTCTACTTATTCATTGCTAACATACAGAAAGAAAATGAAACTTTTACATTGATTTTTATCCTGAGACCTTGCCAAGTTTACTAATTTGTTCAATTTCCTTTTTTGTAGATTCTTTAGGGTTGTCGAATACACTATTATGTCATCTGCAAATAAAGATAGTTTAATTTCTTCACTGTATGGATATCTTTTTTTTATATATTTAAATATTTTGGGGGGCTTGTTGCAAGAGACAGCACAATGTTGAACACCTCTAAAATATCCTTGCCTTGTTCTTGACTTTAGGGAGAACGTGTTCAGTCTTTTATCATTAAGTATGTTATTAATTATAGGTTTTTTGTACATGTTCTTTATTGGGTTGAGGAAGTTCCTTTCTATTCTGAATTTGCTGAGATTTTGTATTATGAATAGGTGTTGAATTTTGTCAATGCCTTTTCTTCATCTGTTGAAATTATCATATGACTTTTCTCATCTTTCTTCTATTAACATAGTGAATTTTACAGACCATTTTTCAAATCAAAGTCTATATTTTTTACATTCTGTTATGAAATTGACTTCTCGTTACAATAGTTGTTTGTGAAATTTGTCTTCAGGAATTGATTCTAAAGTTTTCAGATTTGTAGATCTGAAATGTCAGAGAAGTAACAGCGATGTTGAAGCCTTTCCTGATAGTTAATTCATGTCTCTCGCTACCATAATCAGAAATACAGATACGACTGGGGTAGTGCGCCAAGATCAATAGCATAGAGTAATGTTCCTTTAAGTGTGACTCAGGAACCCCTTGAAACAGAATTACTTATGGTGCTTGATGAAATTGTAGATTCGTGTCTACACGAATTCATACTTCATTCGTACCCTGAGAGCAGGGCCGTGATATCTGCATTTTAAACAAGTTTCACAGGTATCCTTCCTACTAAATTTAGAGAATGCTGCATACTAAATTATGTTTGGATGTGTGGATTTGAGATTGGGGGTTCACAACATCTTTATTGGATATAAAAGAGATTTTATTATTCTGATTTTATAGATGATAAAATTGAGGTTCAGTAAGGTTAAAAAAAACTCACTTGAGTTCATTCAGCTAGTGAGGGAGTCAGGATTTGAACCCAAGTTAGAGCCTGATGTCAATCAATAGAATAGATGACTTCCTGGGAATTCATAGTTTATATTCCAAATTAATTTTTCCTGAACTCTCCATAAGATTTTCCCTGTCATTTGCTTTGCTTTATCTTTGTTCGGGTTTTTACATCCTCATTTAAGTGAGAAATTTTTGTGATTCAGTTAAACATGAAAACTGAACCTTACTTTATTTTTTGAAAAGTTAAAAAAAAAGTTTATTTATTTTTGAAAGGGAGAAAGACAGAGTATGGCTCGGGGAGGGGAAGAGAGACAAGAAAACACAGAATCCAAAGCACAGAGCCCGACACAGGGCTCGGGTTCAGGAATTGTGAGATCAGGACCTGAGTTGAAGTCGGATGCTCAACCAACTGAGCCACCCAGACACCCCTGAAACTTATTTTTAAAAGCAGCTGTTTCTCTTTGATTCACAAATTTTGATTTAAAATTCATATTCGGGAAAACCAGCAAAGCAATGAATTCTCTAAAAGAAGAATCTTTTCGTTCTTTTCAGATGCCTTCTTAACAATCCTATGATACCAAAAAGAGTTGAAAAGTATATGAAAAATGTCAACATTTACTGTCAAAAACCCTTTCCCAAGCAACAGACTAATTTTGTGTTTTAATACAATGCAAAACATTTTAATGTAAAAATGCAAAATAAAATACAGTATTAGCAGCTAGGTTCCAATAAGCATACGAAAAGAGGAATTTACCATAATCAAGAAGAGTTTATTTCATAACTATTAAAATAATTCATTAATACAGTTCATGTTAATAGAAAAAAATTAAAAGGAAAAATACTATTTCTATAAAAGTAAGAGATTCTTTAATGAAAATCAATATTCATTCCTGTTTCTAATTTTAAAAAAATTGATAAAATAAGAATAAATGGAGACTTCCTTAACACGAATCAAACATTTCTCTCAAACCAAGGGTTGTCACCATGCTTGAGGGTAAAATGCTGAAAATATTTGTGTTGTTTTTTTAATTTTTTTTAATGTTTATTTATTTCTGAGACAGAGAGAGACAGAGCATGAGTGGGGGAGGGGCAGAGAGAGAGGGAGACACAGAATCAGAAGCAGGCTCCAGGCTCTGAGCTGTCAGCACAGAGCCCAATGCAGAGCTCGAACCCACAAACCGTGAGATCATGACCTGAGCCGAAGTTGGTCGCTCAACCCACTGAGCCACCCAGGCGCCCCAATGCTAAAAATATTTGTATAAAGCCCAAACCACACTTAGGTATCTGTTAAGACAATGTTGATATCAAGATACATATTATGTTCTGGAACTTTTTAGTCAAGATAATTAGCCACCTGGGTGGCTCAGTCAGTTAAGCAGCTGTTTCTTGGTTTTGGCTCAGGTTATGATCTCATAGTTTGGTGAGTTTGAGTCCCATGTCCAGCTCTGCACCTCTCTCTCTCCCCCTGTCTCTCTGCCCCTTGCCCCTCATGCTGTTTCTGTGTCTCTCAAAATAAATTAAGCCCCTAATGTGGGGCTTGAATTCATGAACCCTACGATCATGACCTGGGTCGAAATCAAGTCCGATGCTTCACCAGCTGAGCCACCCAGGTGCCCCAAAAAGCAAATCATTCCTTAACATATTTTACTATAAAGAATGAAGTGTTTTATACGTTTTTTCCATATCAAATGATTCCTTCTCTCTCTCTCTCTCTCTCTTTTTATTTTTGCTTTTCTATGTTATTAATAACAAAGGCAAATTTGTTTGCCCAAACCTAGAACTCAGTGGTAGAAAAATAACAAAGGAAATCTCCCCAAGTCATACAATAAAAACTTGGGAGTGCAGGCTAGGTGTGCGTTGTGGTGTAGGGGATGGATAGATGACCCGCCATCTTGGGAAGGTAGAGGTATGGGAGGTATTGAAGTTGTCTAGCACCCCACAGTCCTCCTCTCACCGCCTTGACCTTTTTTGGGTTTTCATCCCCAGACCACGGCACACACCTTCAATACAAGAGCCGGTCAACAGTGGCACTTTTTTTGGAGTGACCAGATATTGATTTTTTTTTTTTTTTGTCCTGCCGACACTGGGAGCTTTTAGAGTGAGGAAACTTGGTCTGGGAGAGGGGAGGCTGGGATGGACACCCAGCACCCATCTCGAGGGATTTTCCTCCAGGCAGATTTGGAGGAAACACCATCGTGGATGAAAAGCCCAGAGGGCAGCGCGGTAACTGCCAAGCAAGCAGGGTGGAGGGGAGGCGCCAGCTGGGCCCTGTGGCCCGGCTGGGCTTCCAAGTCAATGGTTGCAAAGCAGCGGCTGTATCTCCCCACAGGCACACCGTTCGTGCCCACCAGGAACTTCTCCGAGGTTCCAGGCGACGTGGTTGCAGCACACCGGAGGCCAGCGGACGACCGTGAGAGGTCGCTAAGGGCAGTGGCGTGGTCTCTGGGTGACTGCAGAGCCTCGCCTGGAAGGTGATGCGCAGCGCGCCTGCGCTCCATTCAGCGTCTGTCCAAGAGCCAGAGGTTGGTCTCGAACTGCCAACTGCCGCGGGGTAGAACGTACCTGGGGGAATTCAGAATCCCTTCGTTCTGGGCATTCTCCTGATGCCTGAGATGGTTGCACGAGCAGCCGAGCACTATATGTAATCATTTAGGGGCCTTGCTAAGTGTGTCACATCCAGCTTTTCCTCCGAAGTTTAAATACCGCCCAAGAACCAACCCCCCCCCC